TTATTTTAATAATATTTCAATACTTTAGTGTTTGTGTAACATGACTATAATGAAAAAAATAATGATACCATTGTTATTTTGCAACTATACTGTGATATTGTTCAAATTTCTGTTACTTGCAAATTTTCAAAACTTTTTGTACCTGTTGCTCCATTACACGGGTAAAAATAGACTAACAAGATCATTGGAAATGTTGCCACAATCATTGTGCATGGAACTGTCATAGTTTCATTTACTGATTTGCTATGTCAGAGGAGTAATATCTAAAATACTGTTTCTGCGAACAGTCTACTGTCGTACCTGTTACAGCTTTTACAAAACAAGCAGAGATTTCTCCTTTTGGGTGATGATAGGTTGATATTGTGTGCATGGAATTGGGGGGTTAGTATTTCAATTCATGCATTGCATTTGACTACAATACTGCTTTAAAACCAAAAATTCATTAATTCCGCATGAAAAGCAAGCCACATGGTCAAATTTATTCTATTTAACGCCCAATTCAATCACGGACGTTGTCCACAGGGGAATCCTAGTTTCCAATCCCGGTTACGTAGTCTCTAATATCTATGAATAAAGTGTCTATGATGCCAGTGCCACACCCAATTTGCCCTAATAATAATTCAATTTTAATTCAATTTAAAAATTAAATTAAAATTAAATTAAATCTAATGGGCATGCATGATGGCAAATACTACAAAATCATATCAAAATTAAAAATGAGTTTCATCAGCATCTTTATACAAAACATCTAGCCTATTCATCTTAGAAATGATCAGAGCATACTTGTTTGTGCTTTGCATCCAATGGGAATTTTCCAAGTGTATCATTAATCTTTAGAGACTTTAATACTCCTTTAGTATCAATTTTAAAGTGAGAAAAATAAAGGACAGTAAGTGAGTGGTTACTAAAAGTTCAGCTAGAGACTGTGCACAGGCTGAAGTAATGCCAGGATTGTGATCAAATGATAAGTAACGAAGATGAGTATTATGCTTTAGTGACTGAGCAAGTGTAATGACACCATCATCTTTGATTGTGTTGTTAGTCAGCCATAGACTTTCTATTGTATTGTTATTCGAAATTTCTGATGATAAGCAGGAAATAAAATCATGTGTCAGTGGGATTGAAAAAACGAAAAGACATCGGACAGTTTTCTTCTGCAACAAAGGTGGGATTAGCAACTCTGCAATGCTAGAAGATGACTCTCTGAGATAAATCTGTTGATGTGTATCCTGCAGTTTTGCTAGAACTTCTAAGCATTGTTGTCATTTTAGGCATAATGAACAGGCTTTACACCGGCTATCCTCAATTGTTGGTTAGCTGTATTTTAATCAGAGGCTTTATCTTTAAGGGCAGCTTTTAACTTCTCAATCTCAAGGTCTTCTTTTACTCATTTGCTGCAAGGTTTGTACCTTCTCATCTGAATGCATATATGTAGGTAACTTACTAATAAAATATATGCACACTGATTACCTGATGATAATTGTGATTCTCGTAGTGACTGTAAATCTTGTTTCAAAGATATAATTTCTCTCTGTTTACTTAACAGGTCTACAGCTGAGCTGTGTAGTGAACTCATGACATCACATCTCATGCATATTCATGATATCTCTTAATATTGCATGCCGTGTTTTTAATTGATCAGTGTTTGCACTGTTTGGGTGTCAACTCGAGGTAAATGTGAGCGCTCTATGGCAAGCAGCATATCTGCTTCTCCATCACAAGCTGCAACACTCATATATCCATATAACTTTACGCTAAAGCTGCAATTAAACAATTTTGATAAGTTGATCATCAATTGGCATGCAAGCCTTAGAAAAACTTTTCTGAAAGTGATAAATCATTGCCAAAAATTTCATTTTCATTTGCTCAAATTTTTCTTTTATCATTAATTTTTGTGATGCTCAACCATCATCCGTTTGTTGGCATGATTTATAATCCAGGAACAAGAGAATGGAGCATGGAAGATGACGCTGCTTCTGTTGTACATTAACTTCAGGTATAAAGAAACTAACACTAAAAGACAAGTAATGATTATTAAGAAAAATTTAAAAAAACAGATGCAATAACAATAGATCATGGCTTAAAAATAATTGAGAGTTACTGTCTTTAAACAGACACAAACTAAAAATCAAAAATTACAACAAATGCAAAAATTGATCACGCATTAATGTGAGAGTTATTTACAATAGATGCCTTCAAACAAACAGACACAAACAATTTAAACTTCATTCAAATGAGAAATAAAAGTATAAGCAGGGTTCCTGATATAAAAGATAAGATATCTTCAAAATTTCAACCTACTGATACCAGGGAATGATTCTTTGTGTCACTCATCTAATACAAGCCATTCTAATGTAACATTGGGCTTAGGTGGATCATCGGGTTTAGGTGGATCATAGAGCTTAAATGGATCATCGGGCTTAGGTGGATCATTGGACTTAAGTGGATCATTGGACTCAAGTGACTTCACCAGTAAGCGTGCTCCATCCACATCAATATTAGTGTGGGAGAGAGAGAGAACACAAAGTGTTTTGTTTGCATGTAAAAGATCAGCCAGTGATTTACAGCTTTCAGAAGTAACCTCTGAATTGACAGAAGTGTAAGAGTCGAGTTAGCTTTCAACGAATGTGCCAGACTTTTGACCCCCTCATCATTGATAGTGTCATGAGTAAGCAATAAACACTTCAATGTTAAGTTGTTTGCGATCAGTACAGAAAAATGGTGGGTGAACGGTTCCTCAAATCGGGATGAGCGTATATTGAGACAGTTTACAGCCTCAGTCTTTAAAAGAAGTGGTACAAGTGATTCTAAATTATCCAAAGTTAAGCCCTTGAGACAAATCTCATCCTTGCCCTCCACATATTGCTTTGAGGGTGATTCAGTGATGTGCTGTACCTCAATGTTAGTTTTGATTTGTTCTAGAAAAAAATAATAAAATAAAAGTTTATATTTCAGCATACCAGGAGCAGATCCAATCTGAGTAACCTCATGTTGAAGTTGTTTCAAATCTTGTAAACGCTGTGCCAACTCACTTTCAATAACTATACCAGATATAATATTATGATAAATCAATGATAAATTTCATGTACCAGCTATTCTATCTTCTTTCTCTTTAATATTAGATTTAAACTTCTCATTCTCAAGTATCAATACTTTATTAATTTTTTTCTGCATCTGTAATTCAGCAACAGATTCTAAGTAAATAAATTGAACCTAGCATTGTTGATTTAATAAATCATTACCAGATTGTTGTTCCAATTTTTCATCTTTCTCAGCTACAAGATGCTCCAGTTCTGTATTGTGTAAACAGGCAATTAATTTTTATTGCACATGTATTACAATACTTTCTATTTTTCTTCTTGATTCTTCTTTATCTTCTTCGCGGTTTTTCTTTAACACTTGAAGTGAATCAAGTAATAAAAATTTTTCTTGTATGATATCAAGTTCTAATTCATCTAATTGAATATCAAATAATAATTATTAAGAAAATTGATAATTGTTATAATAATAAATATTTGAATTATCTTTCTTCATTGTCACTAATGATTTTTGCATTTTTCTTTTTACTAACGGTTTATATTGTATACAAATGATCCCAATAGCTGTAATTTTGCCAATTAAAATTGCTTTTTTGTAGATGAAAAATTTTCTGGTTATTTTCATAATTACCTTGATCATGAACTTCTGATCGTTCTGGAGAAGGTTCATCTACTATTCATAAACTGCTGATCACTATAAATATTCAGCATCTTACTTGGTGTCACTTGAATTTGCCCTCCAACAAACTCACTACTGTATTGAGTTGTTGACTCCTCAACCACACATTGACCTATAACAAAAATAAGAATGTCAACATGGCATAACACAAAAGCATTATTCTACTTTAACTTACTCCCATATATTTCCATTAGAGTTTTTTATAATTGTCAGCAATGCCTTGTGTATTTGGATACTTTCTTAATTCCTTCAGCAATTGTCTCCTCCTTGAATCAGGAGTGTTTAACTACAGCTCCAACAATGCTATGGTCTTATTGGCAAATCTTTCTTTCTGACACCCAAAATCAATCCAAATGAAAGCCAACTATTCTCAAAATCAATAGAACCAACTAGCTCTTCTAAAGTTGGGTTCTGTGTTTAAGAAGTCATCAAAAGAGTAGTTCTTGTTGGAACACATGATTGTTCTTGGCCGTATACTAGATTGTGTTTGTGTAAAATGGTCTATACATATAGCAATAAACAATACATGACATCGCTACTCTTTCTAGCATATGCACTTCCTTTTTGTGGATGTGTGTGTGATCATTTCTATGAATAGATGCAATAACAATCATGATTCAATAACAAAACAAACAAGTCATGAGCATAAGCAGGTGTACATGTATATGCACTGTTAGTTTATCAATACAATAGTTTGGTCAAACTATACAGCACTAAAATATAATGTGTGTATTATATGTCATGATAATATATGGGTAAATAAACTGATGCCGAAGATAATTTGAATTGATATTACCCAAAGCATCTAAGGTGGAGGGTGTATTAACGCATATCAGTGTGTTATATAAGATATATATCTCACGCATACTACATCTTTAACACTATTACATTAGTCCCTCTCATACAAAAAATTTCATGAATATTAAAAAGGGAATTAAAGATAGCAATTAAGTTATGCCAAGAATTTTCAAACTTCAGGATATTTTAAAAACTTTACATGTAACAAATAGCTGACTAGGTCTATCTATATTTGCAAATTTTTTAGCTGTAGCACTGTCACCAGTAGCATTTATCAAATTTTCACAAATAGCTCTAACTAAGTCCTAATTCTGGTTATAGCTTAATCAGTCTATCAACTTGCACAAAAGTTAAATTCTATAAATTCTTGTTTGTACTAAACTTACAGAGCTCTTAGCATCAACTTCAATGTGCAATAAGTTATACAGCATTACTAATTATGCAAGCAATATGTTGCTGCAGCTCCAATTGGAAA